TTCTAAACTTCAGCTCAAATAAGTTATATGCTTATGTCTAAAGCTCTGCAGTTTAATGCAGTCCAGGAGGAAGAGAAGAGAATATCAGAATATCATATCCTTAGTGACTCTGTCTCTTTCTTGTTTTGCAGTTGCAAAACTAATACTACAACTAATTTAAACTAATTCAAATTACCATTTACCATGGTAAACCATTCAAATTACCAAATTACCATTTAAAAAAGAGTTTTGCATAAAGCTGACAACTGCATCAAAATTGCTTCTTGGGAATTTCTGCAAAGAGGAAAATGTGGAAAGCTTTTAGTTAAGGAAATAATGTGCTAAATTTTGCTTTGAAGGACATTTTAAAAAATGAAAATAAAAAATAAAGCCCAAATGAAAATTAGGATCTGCACTTATAGGACTTTGCCGTCCACCAATTGCCAGTCTGTAAATCAGCTATTTGTATGTGCTTGTAAATTTGTGTGATGAAATATGTCTGAGATGGTACGAGCAATCTGCTGGAATGTGAATTACCTCACAGGATGCCTTGCTGCTCCGGAATTCCATAAAGCTGTTCAAATAAAGATGAGCTGGAACAATGTAACAGCTGGCTCAGATGAGCATGGGAAAGAAAAATATGGTGACAGGAGAAGCAGAAGTGACTTGGTGTGTTGGCATTCCTTTCTTTTCAGTGCAAGGACTTGTGAAAGGACTTGTCACTGATAGAAAGACTCTCTTATATTCTATTGTGGCCAAACCTTCAGACTCCAAATAATACCACAATTTGTGTGTTTCCAGATGTAATTGGCATGTGCACATTCTCACACTGCGGGAATTTGACTTCGTCTTCTCACCCCAAACCTTCACTAGTTAAAGAGCTGCCATTTCACTGAAACACATATTGAGGATTTGCTTATATTTCTGAATTTGCAGTGTGGGTAATTTTCTTTTGGTATATGCAGATTGAAATCTTTCTTTTTGTGATTGATTAAAGAAACTAATTGGTAAATTCCTAAAATGAGAAAGTTTTCTCTTTTCCATGGATTGACTGCTGTATGGGATTAGGTGCGCCTTATACCTCTGAGCTCGCACTTTAGTTTAGTGTCAGCAAAGCTAACTCCGAAGGAGAAGTGGATCAAAGAAAGAAAATAGTATTAGTTCTAAAGAACATAATATACAATACTTACTGTTTTCATTCATCGGTATTTAACATGAAAGCCTGTGTTGATTAGAGGGTTTATGAAAAGTTGATTTTCCAGTTCAACAAAACTTTTAGAAAAAACATTTGCTTCAGGTCAACTGCAGCTTGTCTCCCAGCCTCCCTCCCTCATCAAAATGAAAAGCCTGTTCACATTTCATGAGGCCTTGAATGACCTATTTGATGTGAAACAGAGCTTCTCCCAGAACTCTGTCCTCCTCACTGGATTGGAGGTTTCTTAACCTCTGTGGTTGGGATGGGTCTTCAGGTCACACATAATTAGTCCCCAAAACAAGGAGCACAATCCAGGGGCCCATCCACAGATGAATGCTTAACCACTAGGATGTCAGGGCTTCTGGGATAACATATCCTTTTTTTTTTTTTTTTTTTTTTTTTTTCCCCTCTCCACCAGCAATTTTGATTAACTTTATTTTAGTGTGTTTTATTCTTCAGTCTAATGATCCTCAATGGGGTGTGCTAGAATAGTAGTGCCACAAAAAGAAGAGAGAAGGGACAGTTTATCACTCAGCGTGTCCAACTGCTCATAGAAATAGTGCCACAGAGTCTCAGTTAGCGTAGAGCAGGTGAGACGACAGTTCTGTGGTCTGGTTGGGAAAGCCTTGCTTCTACAAATCCAGAAGTGACTTCATCTTCATGATGAAGCAGTGGTGCTGAGATGGCCCTGTCCCTTTCAGATCATCTGCCTTAGATACTCTAGATGTGATCGCATGGATTTGATACCGTGCCTGAGAAGGTATGAGATCATACCCTGATCTCATACCATCTGTTTAACAGATGGATTTGTATGGTAAGACTAATGGTTAAAAACCTGGCTCCACTTAGATCGGTGGTATCAGGATTTTACCCATGATTGAAGGGGGAGGGAAAAAAAAAAATAAAGTGCCCAAAGATAGATTTTCTAAATCACTGACGGGAAAGCCTGTAGACTTGCTTACTGTTCTGTCATTTGAATATTTCTGTTGGATCTTTGGGCAGAGGATCTGATCTTTATGTCTAAGTATATATGTGTTTGCTGGTGTAGACTGTGAAAACACAGACGCATGCGTGACTGTTGAAAGATACGAAGGAAATACAGCCCTTATTTCTTACAATATTGTGTATATTATTGACATAGCTGATATGGATCAGAATCATGTTTGTACACGGCTGCTCTGTAATGAATGTAGCACAAAAAGCCATCGCATTCATCGATAAGTTCAGATTTTCATCTTGCTTCACTAGACTAGATGGTTAGGTTACTTYCTCGTCAGCTGAATTTCACTGTTTTCTTTTCTTCTCCTTCAACTCTCAACAACACATAAATCAGTCCTGGATTTCTTTAGCCCACAGCACAGGATTGTTCTACCCTTACTGAAACGTTAAAAGTAGTTTGTGGACTGGAACATGACTGGGTGGGGCACTATTTAGCTTCCAGCCTAAAATCCGGCAATGGCTTCTAAAATACAGTCCTCTATAGATTAAATCCAGCTGTCGCACAGGTGCACAGAGGCTATGCAGCAAGAAAGTTTACCCACTTAAAAACTTTCGCCTGTTTGCRTCATTAAACCAAGATATATTTGGGTTTTAAACATATACTTCTTGGTTTTTTGATTAGGCAAGGCAAGTGGTCTTCATTAGAGCCACAGAGAGCAGAACAGTTTCATCTAAATTCATCTTTGTAATTGCAGAAAGGCAAAGCCAAGTATCGTAACTCTGACTTCTGCCCGTTCTGCATATTTGTCAAATAATGTTTGCAGTAAAGAGTTGCTTTATAACCAGGAAATAGTGAGTGCASTGTATAACTTGCTCATATTTATATTCCTTCATGAATTAAGTGCTTTTATTAATTGTAATCTCTGATAAGTATGGCTTTCTAGGAATGCATGTCCTCCTTTATAACAATTTCTGAGAGATGTATAGCTTTGTGTACCTCAAAATACAACTTTATTGGATTTATGCTGCAGGAGATTCTTTGTGAAGCTAAACTGATTATCCATCAGTTCAATCATGAACTCAGCTTTCTCTCTATTGCTTTGCATGTCCTTTGAATTTACCTCCCACCTTTCTGAGCTGTATAAGAAAAGAAGTAGTACTTAAGGAAATCTAGGTGGTTGCACACCCATTTCTTGTCCAATTTCTCCTTACAGGCTGTACCTCCAGGTATGGCTGGTAAGGAAGAGGGGGGGAAAAAAGCCTGTAAACTCCACTGTTTTTTTTTCCTTTTCACTCTCATCTTACATATAGAGTAGAGCTGCAGAGCATGCAGCCAGTACTGATGGGATTAGTTATAAACTTTGCCATATTACTTCCTGGATGGAAGACAAAGCTGGTCACATGCCGTGGTTGTCCTCAGGTTGCTGCTTCATTCTGGAGGCATAAAATTTAGCGCATCCATAATGACTGAAGATGGAGAGAGACTCTGCTCTTTTATGCCACCATCTCTTTCCATATAGCTAGCTGCTTCCTCTAAGACTCTTAGCTTCTCCTCTGAATGGTTCAGGAGAAGAAAGCACATGACTTTTGAACAGAGATCCCCTCAAAATGACCTGCTTGRTCATCTTGTTCCTCCTCTAAGGTTATTTAGATTAACAGCAGCTCTTACTGTATGTGAGCGGATCACTCACTAGAGAACCCATGTTTCAGGACTGATAATTTCCATACTGTGCTGCACTTAATGTCTACTTGCATCCAGTTTGGGTATTAATGGGTGTCAGCTGTAGCACAGGTCTTGTCTGCAATACCCTCCCAGGTTCCAGCTGTTAGGGGTCTAGGTACTTCTTCAACCTGAAATTCAATCCATGACACTGCTTTTAATATGTTCTGACAAATGTATTGTCCATGGATTGAGCTCAAATCATTTTTGTCTTGATCCCAAAGGTTGCTGGGTCAATAATGTATGTACAGTTTTGTGTTCCGTGGAACTCACTACCCGTACTTGGAAGCAGGGTGTTCCACTAAAATGCAATTAAATGAGGTTCCACAAAGAATAAAAATTTACCATACAGATTTAACTACATATTTAGGACCTACATGCTACAGATTGCTGAAAATCCTGAGCATGATTGGGAACATTTTACAGCGACTGAAATTAATCTGCTTCAAAGCTGAAGAAGATCGCACAGTGATGTGTTCTGGGACCACTGGAAAGAGCAAAGATAAAGCTGGAAATGCATAGAGATCTTCATTTATATTGAACTGGATTTCTGAATTGGAATTGGGTCCAGAAGTCCCATCTGATAACATACATTCCTGAAGAAAAGCACTATGAGGAGTTTAATGCCCCAAGGTTTCTGATTAATTTTCACCCAATAGCAAGCCCATTCAGCAGCTTTATGAACCAAGGAGCAGGAGCTTGCAAGAACCAGCTCTGTTTTTAAGAGTACTATTTTATGAAACTTGCTTAGATTCAGGCTCATTTTTCAACATATTTTTAGTATGGAAGATAATGGGATTATGGTCATTCACTTCAAATGCATCAAGCTGGCTCCCTGATATATCTGAGATGGACATGAGTAACCATGAAAGTAAGACAGTACAGAATATGACAAATTCTGTCATGAARTACACATAAAAAAATCATTTTCTGTCTTTGCAGTGATGAGAGAGCTAAGATGGTTTGTTTCTATTGCTTATTTTGTAAATTTCTCATTACCTATTATTGCAGGAAAGAGGCTTTAAATGGCCTCTTATTTTAAGAGGATTTCACTTGGCTACCCTTCTCTGCTTTCTTATGCTCCTATTTAAAAATTGGTTAAGTTATTTTGCATTGATTGCTGCTTATTTCATTATTTCATAAATTCAATTTTATTTTTTTTTGCAGAGAAGTTTAGCTGTTTTGCCTATCCTGCACTGATACACAGCTTCAAAACTCAGCAGAATTCGATGTAGTAACCCTTACTGGAAAATACATCCATGTCTTCATCACAGGTAAGTCATACTCCATGAACTCATTTCTTCTAGTCCTGAGATAGAAAGTGATTAGCAGTAATTAACAGTCCACCCAGTTTTGATTGGCAACATCAAACTAACTCACTTTGTAGACTTAAAAAAAAAAATGTAGGGACCTCTCTCAGAAGGTTTTCTTACCACGTTACTTCTTGAATGGCACAAGGGCTAGAATGAACTTGTGTCAAATAAACTCCATTTGTCCAAGCRCTCTCCTCTTCATGCCTTCTCCTCTAGGATAATTAAGTCCATAGAACTCTTGATCTCTTGAATGAAAATAAAAAGTGTTATCTGAGTCTTATGAATGGTGATAGCAGTGCTGGATGTGCAAGATAACAGTCAGGACTATACCTGATTCTACTCTGAGTCAAATGATTAAATCTTAATACTATAATCTACAAGGATACTTCTTCATTTTATCAAATAGTCTCATGGACTTGCTTACCAGCTTATGAGGTCCCCCTGCTCCTTTCATTGAAGCTGTGCTTCATTAGTCACTCTGACTGTCTCCAAACTCCGACAGAAGCCAGSTGTGTCTTTGCTATGTCCTTTCTAGGGTAGGCACTTTGAGAGGGTTTCTTTTGTACTGAATTTCTTTGTGCATTTTGATTTTCAGATTCTTCTGGAAAAGTTGCCTTCCAACTGTAGCTTAGCTCCCTTCCACACTCTTGCTCCCACAGCTCTTGTAAGAATCATTTTTCTGTCTATCTCTGWAAGCTTTTGAATGATTTCACTTTCTTTTCACCACTTTTTTTATGGCAGGAGGGTTAGGAATTGCTTAATTTTCTACCTTGGAAAATACTTTCCGTTAAGAAAAGATAAGAGATGCTACTATCTCTTGCTTCTATTACTATTACTATTTATTTATTTATTTACTTAGCACTATCAAAGATATTGGGTTTATCACAAGGTACTAGATAAGTGGATTCCGATTCAACTCCGTAACTGGCATTTTGCCATGAAAACCGTTGTAGCAACATGTTTATTAGGTTACAGTAGATCTTTCTGTATAGGAAAGCTGTTATTCAGAGATAATCCACCTTGAACTTCTGAATTTCTCAGAAATCTACCTATAGCTAAAGCTGTCATAGCATCAGCAAAATAGATCTTTTAAACTTTTATTTGGAAACAAATGATAAAATAAGTGCCACAGTTCCTTTGTTTGAATTAAATTCTGTTTGACAGTTCAGGGTGCTGGGGAGGGCAGGGAGCGGTGYTTAAGATGTCATGGATCACACTATCTCCTTCATGTTTAACTTGCTATTGAGTGTATATTGAATGTGTGAAGTTTTATGTTACTTAAGTTTGCCTTCCAAAATACAAGCTTATCATTGCAACGATGTTAGCAAAAACATCAAGTAAAATAAAGTAAAATAAAGTAAAATAAAGTAAAATAAAATGGGAGCTATTCTATTTTCGCTTAATAAGATCTGAGATTCTGGAATGTAACTTTGTAGCTAATGATGAATCATGCCACAAATTCAGCATGACCTTTCCCAGTGCAACATTCTCTTTGTTCTCTTACAGATTTTTCTCAGATTCTTACATGAGGAAAATCTTTTTGTATCTTCTTTAAAACCACATGCGGACTTTTAGGAAAGTTGGAGGAAAATCCCTGCTGTCATTTGAGTTAAGAGAAAGCTCTCACTGTTTTTTGTCATTGCAATTGGCAAAACTGAGCTGCAAAAACTCCTGCTTAGCACCTGTTTATATGGGGTTTCATTTTGTGTCCATGCATTATAGCGCAGCCAAAGATTTTTTTGTGTATGTATGTGATTGAAGGAGGAAAGGGAGAGTGACAAGGACAGAAAGAGAAGGAAGAGATTAATTGCAGTATTCTGTTTTAATTTAGGCCTTTTTTTTTTTTTTTAATATGATAAAGTTAAAATCCATATTCTGCTCTAACATGCCATTTTCTCTTACTTTCCTAATTTTTTGTATTTCCCTTGAGGTCAGCAATATCAGTCATTTTAATGTGTCTTYGTATGGAAATATTTTGGGCAACAAATCATTTTCCTAGCAGCTATGAGCTGTAAGAGTGATGGTAAAGCATATTCCCAATCGTTTAATTTAAAATACAGTGTCTGAGTTTGGTTTCTTTTGTAGATCATTGCTCACTATTAGGTCTCATCACATTTTTTTTTGGATAATACGTCAAGTTACTGATTCAGAATTACATGTGTTTGGACAAGCAGTATGTCCTCATTAGGCCACTAATTAATTTAATCAGTCGGCACTGGACTTCTCGGTGTCAGGGGCTATTTGAAATTCTTCATGTAACTATAGGGCTTTCCTTTGTGTCTCAGTYTGTAGTGACCTCTGTTATTAAAGTCCAGGCTTTCTTTCAAGCAAAGGTCTCCAGTTGTGCAGGGTTGTGTGGTGGTTTTTCAGTGTTGACAGAAGTCCACTAGGATGCAAACCCCAAACTCATTTTCACTGTGGCCTAAACAAGGATCTAAGCTGAAGTCTCAGGAGGTAACAAGCTAGACTACTAGCAAGTGATGGGTGAACCTCAAATAGATTGGTTTAGATAAGAATCCAAAAGCTTAACTTTTTTAAAACCATATTGGTCCAGGAATCCGCCTTATAGTCTCATGAGAGTAGTCTGCATTGTCTGATTTATTGGCACTGGCTTTAAGACACCTTAAAGGCAGCTTTTTTCATTATACTTTTGACTAAAACCACTAAGTGGAGAAGTGCATTAAAGCAAAGTAAAAAATCTCATGTTTTGAAATCTTAAATACTGGATTTTTTTTTTAAGCTCAAGTCACATCTTACTCAAAAAATGTTTGTCATCCATAATAATAAGGGACAATACTAAAAGAAAAACTCCATTCCTTACACCAATGGTGACTATAGCAAAAGGAGTGGTTTTGAATGGACATAAAAAAAAAAAAAAGTTTAACACTTTAACAAACTGTTAAAAACAATTTAACAGTAAGAATAATCAGTTACTGAGACAGGAAAGCTGTTTCATTTCCATCGCTGAAATGAGACAATTTCAGTGGCCAGACAAAACTTTTAAAGAACTGATAAAGTTATAGCTGGTCTTGTGCTAGGGTAGGTATGTGCATTGCAAGTTATCCTGTGTTGTCTTCCAAGTTTATGATTCCATATTTACTTATCTCCTGTAACAAAAGTCTCAGGAATGTTAATGTTCAAGTGAAAATACCTCTGTGGAGAAAAAAAAAAGAAAAATCTATTGAATGTTGTTCATAATTACTTGATTTTAAGAAGCTTAGAAATAGTTTTTCTTGGTTAAAAATGTGATAACTTTTGCTTGCTGGGGCTTCCCTTTGTGTCTTCCAGATTCTTTCAAGCAAAATTCCTTCCTTTGCACAAATAATTTGGAAAATATTATCTACCTGCTGTCTATCTCCCTGCAACTACTTCTCAGTTTTTAACCCCTAAAAGGTTTATTTTGCATTCTAGAGTGAACAGAATGTCCTTTCTTCCCCTTCTTCCCCTTTCTTATTTCAAGAAATTTGAAAGTTGAATTATGTGTGGGAGAGAAAGGCAGAGGAAGAGCTGATGATGTGAGAAATGAAAGAYATGAGTACTGGAAATGATGGTTCCAGTACATGAGACCCACTCAGATAATAAAAATGTGAGTCAGCTCCCACTCATGTGCTAACACGGTAAAAGTCAAAGTTTCTCTGACCAACTGTTTCAAAATTTTCTACATAAACACCATGATGCGTTGGGATATGTCTAAAAATAACTTTGCCTTCCCGCAGCGGATATATCCACAAACCCTGTGCAAAACCACGCATGCATCTCAAACACAGCTAGGGAAAACTATGAAACGGTGGCTGAGTGAATGGGCTTGGAAAGGCATTTCACTAAAACCTTAGCTAAAGAAGAGGAAAAAGGTAGTTCATAGAATGTCCTTTTTTTTCAAAACAGAAGGAAAGAGGTGAATGTGCTGCCAGAGCCCCTTCTCAGTACTTTGCTTGTTGCTTAAATAAGACTCATACTGTTCATGGGTCTGGTGTGTTTTTCTGAGATTCTCCTATCTCTGCTGGTTGCTCAAGTGCTGTATCTCCCAGCAAACAATACTCTTGGGTTTCCCAAGAACCATTAAGAAGGTAATTTCGTACAAAATTTGACTTCAGTTGAAACCAAGTTTTGCTGCGAGGCCTAGATGTGCTGGGTCCGCTGTAGTGAACTAGTAGGGCTTAGAGGAAGGGAGAGTGACAGCTGTGATTGAGGCCAAATGCAGCTGAGGCTGCTGTACAAGAAACTAGGAAACGGGGGGTTCTTACATGTGTTTTCTTGGTTATTASTAACTCCTTGTAAGCCCGTACTGATCAAAAAGAGTTACAAAATCCTTAATGCTCTTCAGTTGTCATCACCAAGCTCCGTTCTCCTTTCCTTTCGTAAGAGAGAAATGGTCAAGGTTAGTAGCACGCAGGGAGGCTGCATGGCTGAAAACTGGGAGGTCATTACTTGCAGGTAAGTACTGTTGGCATTGGCCAGCTGTATGTATTGCGGCCTGGTGAGAGGTGAAAAGATTCTGATAGTTGACTTTGAGTTACTGTGTGAACTGTGACTTGCTGATATGCACAGATGATGATGTTTTTATTGCAGACCAGATGGTGAGGCTTGGATGCAGCACTGGCTGCCACAGGTGAAGAAGGATAGGAAAGATGAGAAAAAGAAGGTTTAATTTGTAATGGCATGGCAAGTCTGTTCTATCTGAAGGCAGTGAAGGGCTTTCCGTGGAGCTCTACAAAGAGTTCCTCCTCAGGACTGTGGAGCTGGCAAAATGTACAGTCTACTGTAGAATGTATATGCATGCAGATAGAAATATATGTGAAATTTGTTGAGTACAGAGTGACATAAGAAGCTCAGCTGTTGTAGCATCACTGAAAAAATTATACTGGTCTCAGAGGAGTCAGACTATTTATGCCAGCTCACAACCTGTCACACGAGCTGCAGAATATTGGGTGTGACTTCTCTTGCTAGTCTGGTATGCCAGAAACTGAGCAATTGCTGGATAAAAGCCCAGTATTTCTGGGCCTCTATCAACACCAATGCCAAAGTTCCTTCTTGGCATTCTTCTTGAACCCTGAAAATCTATGTGCTTAAGAGCGTTAGTTCCTTATCCCTGGGCAAAGAAGGAGCTATCACAACTCAAGTGAGGTAATAGTACAGATCAGCTTGGGGATTTTCAAAAGGTTCTGATGGCCTAACTCTGTTCCTGATTAAGTCAGCATTCGCACTGAACTACGAACTCAGAAAACTCATTCTCTGTATGAGCATGAGCCAAAAAATTAGGAATATTAATGCCATAGCTTTAAAAACAACAAAAAAAAAGACTAAATACAAATAAATGAATAAAGAGTTAACCAGTTKACTTTAGAACTTCAGTAAATCCTTTCACTTTACGTGAACAGGCATTTCACAATATCTACAATTCCTACCAAGAGATCTTTAGCAGTCAAGAGATCTTCAGCAGTAAAACTAGAAAGATTAAATTTTTARCTTCATTTTAAAAAAAATGTTATTACTGGCTGGGTTTTTCAAAGCAGTTTCTAAAATTTAAGTACAAACTGGTAGGTTTTATTTTGCCTTAATCTCTGTGTGCATAATCCTGAAATAAATTTTGAACTAAATCCCGTGTGACTAGAAATATTCTTTTAAGCTCTAGGGATTCAGCCAGCTGTAGTGACATTTTTATGCCAACTAACCAGATGTATTTAAGAAGGAAGAAAATTCAATTATAATTAAAATAAATTCAAAACTTTTTACTATGATGTTAAAAAATAAACCTAGAAAGCAGCATAGATTTTATTATGAGAAAAAGAAAAGGAAACAAATAGTATCAGAAGTTATGTTTATGTATGGCAGGATACTGCCTCTGCAAGAACCATTATTGGCCTAGATCTGTTGAGGAAGTGCAATGATAGAGGTTTTGTATGGTTGGTGTGGCATCTCTTGTCTTGTGTGATATTGGTTTCTTTTTTGTTGAAAAACTAAAAAATTAAGTTCTTACAAATCCCTGTTTGGCTAAATTTCAAGAAGCTCTTGTGTAACAGAAAGCCCGTAAAAATCAGGAAAGGAAAACAAGACTTAACAGAATCTGATTCCAAGTGCAGTAAAGCTGGTTAGATAATAGCCACTGACCTGGTTAGATATGTAGATATTATGGTCTTCATACACAACTTACATGTTGTGCATGTGCATAATCACAAGGAATGATTTATAAAGAGTGGTTTTGAATTCTTCAGAAACTACAGCTTTAAGTGCATGGTGGAGTGCTGTTTTACTATTTCTCTGACATTTTCCTCCACTGTCCTTTCCTTGCATTCCCTTTTCTCTATTCTGCTATTTCCCCTACCCCAGCTTTTTCCCTTCCCCTATTTACTGCCATTTAGCATTACATCAGCAAGAAATCACAGCAATATCGGCTTCCAATAAGCAGCAAGTAGATTTAAAATTAAGGAGCAGTTTTAAAGATGGGTTTGTTGCGCTCATATGAACATATCATAACTATAATGAGGGTTTGGAATACATCTACATGCACCATAGGGGTAACCTCATCATTACCCACCCATGGCGACTCTGATCTTGAGTGATCTCATTCCATATCCTCAGCATAGTTCTGGCATGTTCCCTTTACATAGAGAGGGAGTAGAGAATGACCTTCCTTTGAAATCCTAGATTTATTTACATGAGAGCATGCCAAATGCATTAACAAGTGGTGGAGTGAAACCCCGAGTGAGTAAACATGGTCAGCCCAAACACGTGTAAATAAATCTAAAATTTTAGAGAATTCATGCCTGCTTTGATTTACACCACAAACTATAGGAGGAAATGTCAGGCCAATGAGAGTCAGCTTTATTTATTTATTTTTAATTACTATTTTGTCATGGCAGAGCACATCAAGCTCCCAGGCAGCTGTTGATTTTTTTTTTTTCTCTTTACAAAGTCGAGACAGGTTCAAGTGACAAGTCTGTTTCATTGGGAGTAACATCAAGCTTCCACACAGGCAGTAACAGCTCATGGGATCCCCTTTTTTTTTTTAGGATATTGCCTTCCTTGTCACTACAGTTGCACACTTAGCTCTCTCCTCATCTGCTGCATCCTCGTGCAGAGGGAAGGAGGCTGCTACTGAGCTGGAGGCAGACGTTTGGCTGAGCACTCCCCTGGTTTTGGACTGCTGCTTTTGCTTTTAACAGCATGCCTAGACTTTGAGAGGAACCTTATGATGAGTGAACAGCTATACGAAGATCTTTCAGACGTAAAATCGTATCCAAGGAACCTCCGGTAATAAGGGCTTCAACTTCTACCCACAAGTGGTCCCAAGGGAAAGATGGTCTTTGGCTTTTATTTCCTGAAAGGAAGGATTGTATGGCAGTGTTGGGGCTTCGGGGTCTGTATAATCAAGGCTCGGCATGATGAATCTGATGTACTGGCATCTCTTCTGTGTGCTTTGTAAGGCTTCCAATAAAATATGAATAAAAAAGAAATATACTTCATATGTCTATATGGGACATATGGTAGTTAAAGCTTCAGATATGGCATTTTCATGAGTTAAAAAGGATATGTTAGAACACACGTAAGTGGCACAGATCTTTCAAAAAGAAAATGTCAGGAGAAATTTAGGAATGCAAGTATGGCAAGTCCTTTTATTTCCTAATTTTTTTTTATTTGGAGGAAGGGGTTGCTACAAGCTTGACTGCACCTTTGAAATATCTGAAGCTCCAGATAGCATCATGTTACTGTTCATAATCCCTCAAAGAGGGCAAGGTGTGAAAACAAGCCAATAAATGTGTAAGGGGTGAAGGGAGATTTTTACAGATCAGAGTCAAAGTTGCCAGTTTTTCCCCACCACAAAATCCCCAAGTCCCTCTCCAGGAACTTGACCCAGAATATTATTTTTGGGTGTCTGCCTCTACACAGCAAATCAGTGCAGTGCAGAGGAGGCCCCGCCCCTGTGCTCAATTCCCAGACCCTTTATGACTGCAAGAAAGGCAAAAATAATGGTCAGAGGGTCAAAACTGGAGTTCAGTCATTTTTATGACCAGTGGATTTTCCAGCACTGTCAATATGTCCTGTCTTTTCCTAATGAAAATCAGAAGAACAATTAAGTAAATCTAGTCTTTCTTGCTGTGCTTTTGTTTAAAGGAAAAAAAAATCTGTGATGAGAAGTCTTGTCATGAGCTTCCCCACTTTGCTCAGGAGGTGTAGCCAAGTTCAGGCACCCAGTCTTGAACCCACTGGTTCAGACACTCAGCTATTGGCTTTGCCTTGGACCAACCTCATCATCATTGCCTTGCCTGGTAATCACTGGAGCTGAGACAGAGCCTGATCAGCATCATCAGAGCTGCTCTGCTCACCTTCCTCAGGTACTTTGTGTCTGCTCCCACTGTCAATGGGGACACCAACCTGCCTTGCTGTCATCCTTGGCTCCTAATTCACCCTCCCTTGTAGAGCCACCCACTCTTCCACTTCCCTAATATCTTCACGACTGATATTCCCTAATATCAGTCACATTCAGAGGAAGCCCTAGGGCCAGCTCCTAGAGGAGGAGTGAAATGCACAACATATCCACTGCTCACTCATACTCTTGGGGCAAGTTTAAAATGAACAGATATAAATGCTATCTTAGAATCCCATTTAGGAGGAGAAAAAGTTTTGGTGACCCTGCTGAGCCTGTTTGAAATTTTGGGGTGTAAAGCATATCAGAAAAAAAAAAAAAAAAAGATTTTTGGAAGAGTTCTTTTTGCCATAGAACTCTTTGAATGCTGTTTTAAAGTTTCTGAAGGAGTTAAAAGACAGAATTGAAAAAGGAGACAGCTCTTTTCCTGGAGGTGCTCCATGGGAATGTTTGTGGAAGACACTTAACAAACAATGACTAGCTTATGATCTCCCCTGCCCTAAATTTAAGAAATATGAACAGAAGATGCAATGCTTTGTAACATGGGTTGGTTTCAGTCATTCAGCCTGATTCTGAGCTATCTGCTCACCAGCCTGACTCACTGCAAGCCAAAAATAGCACCCCCAAGAATGCTATTCAGTGCACTGACCTGACAGAAAACAGCTTATAGTCAACCTGTGCCTTAACCTTGCAGGGCTTCTGTGGGAAGTAGCACTACACAGTCTCTTGCTGGTAACATATCTGTTTCTGCTTGTCTGCTCTTGTTAAATCCCACAAGAGTGTGAAAATTTCTGCTCTTCTTTTGGCCCCAAAGCATCTTGTCATGCACCACCACTGTGACACAATGAATAGAAAGTGTAGAAGCCTGAAGGCAATTCTGGTTTTGACCCAAACAGAGCAGAAAACATGTTATTACTCAATATAGAACAAACTATGTTCTACGGTTAAAAATAATCTCTCGAGGACAGAGATCAGTTGCTGCCCCTACTTCCCAATCCTCTTCAGTGTCTAGGGGAGCAGCAGTCACAACTCATCTAGGGAGAACGTGAAGAATTTCGTTCCTCTTTCAGCATAGCCAAAGGAAGAGATTGGATCTAATTTCGAAGAAGGCATTATAGCCAGAGGACTTTTTATGCAATCTAGCCTCAAGTCAGACTCTGGAATGAAAATGCAGTCATTTTCCGGGACTCATCTGATAATCCCTCTTCCAGGGAAATTCATCAGAGGCATCAGCCTGTTGAGACTGTTGGGTAGAAGGGGTGACTGAGATGAATTATTTTCAAAGGAAGGATAAATATGTAGTGCTCTGCAGATGTGGGGCAGCTCAGTTTTATTGACTATAAGGCTGTTAATTTGTGATTTTTGTTTGTTTTAAGGTCCTTTGTTGCTGTAGGTAGAAACTAAATGGTTAGATGACAAGCTGTGTRAGATGAAGGAACCCAGCATGAAGGTATAGAAAACATTTCAGATGATTTTAAATTTTGTAAAGCAGAAGTGATCTGTTCATGGTGTCTGTCAGATTAATGGACTCCTAACTCCTGGTCTGAGATCTCTGTCTGCTGTCACAGTGCAAATACATATAGCGCAAAGAGGATATCTCCATTCCCTGTGACAGCTTTCCTTCCTGGAATCTTCTTGCAAGAGAGCATGATAGTGATGACTCTTGGCATTACAGGTCCCAGCTAAGTATCACATATGTACAATCCTATGAAATGAAAACATATTCTCAAAGAGCTCTTATACTCCAGGGCTTCCACTTCAGGAAGGATATTAGATTTCAAAGTATATTTACATATTTACTATAACACTTCCAAGAGAGGGCTTTTTCAAAAGGTTAGAGCAACATCTGTCTGCCTTTGATGGGGACAATTCCCCTTGGTTGTTTTCCCTAGACTGTTGAACTCCAGAATCTTACAGAAATCTTGGGCATTTCAAATTGTGCAAAGAGCTTATAATACATTTTTTTTTTCTCTGTAAGAGATGAGAAACCAATTGTCTGCAGAATATCCAAAGATGAAAGCAGTGGTAGAGCAGTGCACTATAAAGACCTGAAAATTATACTSTTTAGGCCTTTGCATTTTCTAAATCTAAGGCTAAAAAAAAAATAATGAAATAAAACTGATTACATCTATGGCACCCATTGCTTTTGTGTGTGGCCTACAGAAGCACATTTTTCATGGTAACAGAGGAGAAGAAAGATATAGAAGAAATTCCGTAGACAAATATCTTTATTAGTCCTATAGTAGATCATACGTATGCGAGAGTCTAATAATAGCATGATTGGATTAAAAAATTGGAATGCAAAATATAAAATTGGGAGAATTGGATCTTGAAAGCAAACACTTATTATACTTCATATACCTAAGTCTAAATAAGTATATATATATGTAAGTCTAAATTCCTAGTTGAAGTAAAACTGATCAGTTCCAAATGATTTAAGATATATCAATGCAAGTCAAGAGAGACAGATTAATGCCCTTCCTTGTTTGATTGTCAGTGTTCACCTCTTCACCAATTGATGTTCACCTGAACACAGGGAAGGACTTTATAATGACTTATTGGAGCACACTAATTTAGTAGTCATATTATTTCTATATATTTAAATAACTTCTGTAACATAGCCCTTAGAAAATTCAGCTGTTTCTAAGTTTGTTAATGAAAAGTGAATGTATTATTCGTATCCTCATTTCCTCTGCTGTTTTTTTGCTCTCTGAAAGCCTAGAATTAACTTTTCTTTGGGAAAGTTAATGTTAACATTGTTTCCACACTTTTCAATTTCCATGTGCTGTGGAAACTCTGACTTTCAATTGGAAGTAGATGTGCYGGAAGACCAGGAGATCTCTTGGGAATTGCAGAGGGACAGAGGAAATAAAGCTGCACAAGTTGTGAAGCAGTGTCCATCAAGAAAGGGAACAAAGTTGTTTGGGGTAGCTTTTGTCAGGTTTCCACATTCTCTTTAACATGCAGATTCAGAGCTTTGTACTCATTCTCAAGCAACCTACTTAATGCTGCAGATGTAGGTATAGCTCACAGCTAACAGTGAACCCAAGACTTGCAATCCTTCAAGCTAAATTCTCTCTTCCTGCCACTGAAGGCAGATTGACACTCAATTTATGGGAAAGGATGCTCTCTACAGTCTCAGACTCTCTCTTACCTCTCATGAGTTCGGGGAAAAACCTTGGCTGTTCAGGTGATAGATCCAGTTGAGGGCACCCTATGGATTGTGTCTCCCAGTGAATGAGGTTTTCAGCCTCATACAATAACTGTTCTGATTTTGCACAATAGAGATAGCGAGAGAGATGCTAACCCCAGTTCCTCATCAAAGGTGGTAGTAAATTTGTTTTAGATGATTCAGAGTCCTTTACACAGTCTGACAGCTGTGTCTGTTTTATCTTTTTCTGTATCTTACTCATATAGGTCTCAAATCTAGAGAAACTCAGTTGATTCAAATCACTTTGCATCACACAGGTTTTTCAGGTTAGCTGTTAAGGATATTTGAGCTAGGGAAGAAAAAAGAGATTTGATGATCTTCTCTGGAGGTCTTCAAAACCCGCCTGGATGCCACCTTGTGCCACATGCTCTAGGTGTGCCTGCTTGAGCAGGAAGGTTGGACCAGATGATCTCTAGAGGTCCCTTCCAACCTTGAATATTCTGTGATTCTGTGATTCTGTGATCCATGAGATTTGGAAAGTATCGGATCCGATAGTAAATACTCAACTATGAGGCAGTTGACCCATGATCTAGAGAAGCAGTAAGACAAAGAGTTAAGAACTGTGAATCTTCAACTCAGTTTTGACTCTGCAGGTGCTTGGAGGAAGAATTAGGTCTCTGTTCTACACTTTAAACAAGAAAATTACGACATGAAAGTATCACTTAGATTCATGACTCCTACAGTTGTCACAGTTATTAAAAACCATAGGGCTTCAAAACCTCATGATTTCTTCTAGGTGTTTTTTCAGAGAAGTGTAAAA